CGGGAACCGGTCTCCACATGGGATCTGAACCCTCGGTGGGAGCGCCACCGCGCTCCCAAGCCGCGCTCCCAAGTGGCGTACTCTCCAGTGCGCCGCTGGGCCGGCCCGAGGTCTTGTGTCTTGAAGCGAAGGAGGCAAACTGCTAGTGGGCTACTCCAGACACTTGGATTCACCCACCAATTAGATACTGAGCTGATAGCCTTGGGCATCTTCTGAGCCACAAAGTAGGCAACTAACTCACTGCCTTCATGTAGCTCATAGCCTGGTGCACCTTCAGAGTCTCAGCCAGTGGGGTTGGGAGGAAGGAAGAGGAGAAGCAGAGAGTGCCTGGGGCAGGAAAACCTTGAGGGGGCTTTGTGGAGAAAGTGGGGTCTGAATCAGGGCCTGGAAAGACGGGCAGGACTTTAGGAGATGAAAGGGAATTTTGGAGGAAAGACCAGTAAGGGTAGAGGCTGAATATTTAATGGTACCTTGCATTTGGGATGAGAGGCAGTGCAGAATTTAGAACCATAGCATGTCAGCTAGGAGCAAGTTCTGTGTTCACTCGGAAAATGAGCCAGTCCTAACAATACCAGTTTTAGGAATGTGGACATATGTAAGTTCTCAGAGCCTCAGTTTCCTCATCTGTTCAGAAACAAATTTTTTCAGTGGTTCTTCTAAAAGAATCATGCAAGTTAATCAGTCAGGACTTTAAATATTGGGGCTTTATATCATTTGGGGCAGGTTATTTATTTGTAATTTTTTGTACTTTCCCTGCTAGTTGCTTTTGAAGCTCCAGAATTCCTTGCATAGCTCCATGCCTGTGCACTCTCAGTTCCTTCCACCTGACAATGCTCCCCTCTTGGTTAGTGAGAAATTGGTTAAAGGTCACAAAGAATGATTACATTTTATAAAGATGAGTTTACTAATTATCTTGATTTGATCATCACATGTTTTATACAGGTATTTATATTCAACTCTGTACCCCACAAATATGTATAATCAATTATGTTTCAATAAAAAAAAAGAAAATACTCCCCTCTTCATCTTCCCACCTCTATCTCAGCTCCTCTGATATTTNAAAAAAAAGAAAATACTCCCCTCTTCATCTTCCCACCTCTATCTCAGCTCCTCTGATATTTCCAGGATAGCTTCCTCTGCCTGCATCTTCTCAAATGGCCTCAGGCACAGTTCGGTTCTGCCTGTATTTTCTTCTTCCTTCTCTTACAGCCCTTAGGCTTTCATGGTTCCTGCACTAGCTTTGAGCTCCCTAAGGGCAGGGGCCTGGCTCAGGTTCGTCCTCACCTCTCAGGACCTAGCACAGAGTCTGGCACAAAGTTGGCTCCTAAGCTACCATTAGTTAAATGCATTGACCCCTTGCCATTGTCTCCCAACTTCAGCAATATTGCATACTGTGCTCGAATCCATCATGGGTGTGGTTAAGGGAAAAGAGCCACAGAAAACAGTAGGTTAATGTGCCCATCGCAGAAGCAGAACCTTGGGCTTTTAGGTTAGGTTTCACTCCATGCATAGGAAACTTCGTAAACACCTCCCTGGCAGGAGAATGCGGCATTCTAAATTTTGCACAGGGAAAGCCCCAGGATAATTGATTTTTGCATAGTGCTTAGGGTTTTATTTTCCTAGACTTGGCTTGATATAGCATTTATCTGTGTCTTCTTTGCAGCCTCGTGGATGATCGTTGTGTTGTACAGCCAGAAGCTGGAGACCTTAACAACCCACCTAAGAAATTCAGAGGTAAGACAGTGGCCTTCCTGGAGAGGTCAGCTTCATTCACCTGAAAATTCATGGTGTGTTGCTTTGTGTATGTGTTTTTTTTGTGTGACCAATTATTGCTTATGTATTTTTTCAGAGTATGATTTCAATTCTGAGCTTTTTCATTTCTTGAAAAATGCAGAAATAAATTCAGTGTCAAGATTGGGATGGTTTTCGCCACACACTTGGGAGTGT